CCATGCAGGAACGTACCGGCAGCTCACGCCCATACCCCGGAAGATGCCAACCTCATTTTGCCCCATTCAGTTCTCATGAACGAACACAGGGCTTTGTACTTTCAAAGATTTTTTCTTTTCCAGAACTTTCCTAAGCCTTTCTACTTGCCAGTAATCCACTTCTCTCAGGTTGTAGGGTGTCAGTGAGATCCTTGGTGCTTTGTAGCTCACCTTTTCTGTGTTACTCTTTGGAACAGGGTATGAGGTCTAGCACTCACCATGGCACCACAATCTTCTGTCACTTTCTGCTAATCGTATTGAAAGGACCTTGGTGAGTGTAGCAGGTTCTGTTTTGGCTTTTGTTCATTTTATTGGATGGGGTGAACTGGGGGGATTCTGAGATGGCTTCACTTTTGTCATCCTATCCTAGAGATCCCCCCTTTTCCTTGTCCACACATCCCCTAACACCCCCTCCTCCCTGTGAGCAAGACTTGGGCAGTCTCAGCCCCAGCTCTTTCAAGTCCCTGCGAGGAGACAAAGGCCTACAGAACTAGGAAGGCAACGACCTTTCACAGGCGAGTGTCAGATGCTTCCTAGGCATAAGCACAGTGTGACCCACAGCACAGAAGTGGGAGAGCACAGGAATAACAAGCGGCCAGGGGCGAGTCCAGCTGGAAGAGGGCCAGCTAGGAAGCAGTGGAGGCGCCGCAGGGAAAGGTGACCAGGCAGGTGCAGTGCACACAGCTGGCACGGGAGCTACCCGGTCTGTGAGCAGGCACGTAGCTCTCGTGCCTGGAATCTCGGGGAATCCTCTGAGAACAGGGCCATGTGCAAGTACGAAAGCCTGGTTCCTCGGCTCGCTCCAATCTCTAGCGCCTCCCAGGGAACCCTCTCTGACTACTCCATTCCCTTCCTGCCCAAGGTGCTCCTGGTTTCCCATGGCTACGCCAGGCACTCTCTATCCCATGCCACCTATTAGCGTCTCACAGCCACGCCCCTGGTCACTGGCCACGCGGAAACATAAACATGGCACATAGCTGCACACCATCACTCCTTGCACATGCTAGCACAGGGCACGTGGTGCTGTGCATGTCGTCTGCACATAACCACACACTGCCTGCTGCCGGGCTCCCCACTCCAGGGCCATTGCCTCTGAATCTCCTGAGAACCTGCCCTGCCCCCTGGTGGCCGTTCCCTAAGTCCCTGCCCTTCTGCAACGACTCTGTCCACTTCCTTCTTGACCTGGTCCCTGCCCAAAGAAACTTCTGGCTTAGTATAGCCTGTTTCCTCAAAGCCACCTGCCAGACTAGACCCCCCCCAGTCACCCCCCAGACCAGCCTGCCCACCTAGACCTGTGTGGGCAGCAAGGGCTTTTCAAGGTGACCAGTTGTTGCTCTTCACTTGAGACAAAAGGTTTCTCAAGACCTGAGATATTCAGTGCTAAAACTGGGGAAGTTCCAGGAAAACAGGACCAGTTGGAGATCTTATTTCCTAGACACATCTCCCTGCAGGTGAGTCTCCTTCCAGGCTGGACCCATCAGACCGACCCCCAGAGACCTCCCCCACACACACACACATGTGGGCAACGTGCACACTGGTCTTTTCAAATAAAATCTCTTCAGAAGCCTGTCCCAGGCCAGCCCCTAGACGGATGCTGCCACCCCGTCCTCACAGACCCCTGACTTCAGCTGAACCTTTCTCCTTGGAGTGGCACCCTCAGAGCAGCTCTCAGATCTCCTCTCTCTTTCCTCTGAGGAGAGGCAACAGTGGGGAGATTACGTGCCACTTCTTCCTGTCTTCAGGGCTCTACCCCATGATCACAGATATGTGGCACCTCTGAGGGTCCAGTGACCCTGGACTGTGGTGCAGCGGACATGTGACCCTCAGGAGGTACAGACCACAGATAAGGATGCGCACCTCAGATTCAGGGCCAAGCATCATCCTCTCCAGTGAGAATGAACTTTCTTAAGAATCCCAAGCCATAGAGGTGGTGTGCCCTCTTATTTTGGAGTTCTTGGGGCCAGAGGTTGCCCAAGAAGAAGTCCTGCCTACTGGCTCCCTCCCTCCTGGCTGACTGATGGGAGCACAGGGATTTCTGTGCTGCCAGCCAACAGCCCCGTAGCAGGAAAGAAGGGCAGGCAGGTGGCCGAGAGAGGGCAGCAGAATCTAGGACAGCCTGTGGCTCAGGCCAGAGAAGAGCTGTGGCCACAGGCAGGGGGTCTGGATCAGGGCAGAAACACACAGAAGCAGGCAAAAAAGAAGGAAGGATGGAGTCAGGAAAAAGAGGTGGAGACACAGATGGGGGTAGAGATGGAGGTACTTGTAGAGAGACAGACAGAGACAAACAGAGATACAGAGAAACAGACTCAGAGAAAACAATAGGAGGGCAGAAAATGGAAGACTGACAGAGACCTGGAAGAGAGATACACAAAGCCAAGGCTGGAGATAGAGAGGGATCCACAGAGAGCAGGAAGCAGAGAGTGGAGAAGAGATGAGAAATGGAGAAATCCAGAGACAGCGATGAGATAGAGACCTGAAAAGATACAAAGACAAGGACCAGACAAAGATATTCAGAGAGAAAGAGACCAATTAGAGATGGGAATGAATTAAGTAAGGAGAGGGACAATAGTAAGAAGGGGACATGTCCCTGCTGGGAGGACAGGTAAGGTGGCCATGGGCTGAGGGAACAAGACATCAAGAAGATTCCCCATCCCTGGAGCACCCTGGGGGAAGCAAATACAACAGGGTCTGTGGGGCTGGACCACAGGGCTGCTGTGCACTTTGGCTCTGGGGTCCAACTCCCTCTCCCCAGGCCCTTCAGAGTTTTAATTCTCTGGGTTCTGTTTTAGTTGCAAGAACTGATGTCAAGGCTGGGTGCAGTGGTGCATGCCTGTAATTCTAGCAATTGGGAGACTGAAGCAAGACAATTGCTGTGAGTTCAAGGCCAACCGGAACTACATGGTGAGACCCTGTCTCAAAAAGCCAAAAACAAACTAACAAAAAACCCCCAACCCTGATGTCTATGCCCAGAACCACCATAGGGAAGGGATGTGGAGGGACAGAACCCAAGAAAGGAGCAGCAGACAGCAGCCAAGACCCTCCAAGGTGATGGCCTTTGAGAGACACAGGAGTCAGGCCAGGGCTGGGTCCCTCTTGAGTTTGGCGGCAGGGAGATACCCCAGTTTTCCCCTCCACAGGCCTCCAGGGCTCCAGCAGCCCCCCTCCTTTACCCCCGCCTCCCCAGGCCCTGCATAATTGCTTTCCCATGTTGCTAATGGAGGCCAGATTCCTGATGCCCAAGACCTGGGTGGGCGGTGGGTAGTTCAGGACTGACCAAGGCTCTCCAGCAGGAAGGAGCACAGGCCAGAGACCTCCTAACTTTGCCCTGTGGAGCCAAGACAGCAGTGCGAGGTTCTGATACATCTCAGGAATACAGTGTCTTGGCAAGAGAGCTGGCGGCCTTTGGTCCTCTCCTCTCCTCCTGGACCTAGAGTGTGGGGTTCTGTGCTGGGTCTCATCTCACAGGGATCAGACAGGCAGGCAGAACTGAGGGTTTGTGGAGTAGAGGAAGATCAATAGCCAGAGTTTAAGGTGTCGATTTGGGAGCCTCTTTCTGTGAACAGAACCACACTGCTGGGCCACTCAGCTTGAAAAGACACAGGCTCTCCTGACACCAGGCGTCTGCCTCCCCCAGGTCTCCCAGCTGGAGCCCCCTCTGACCTTGGCCTGGAGGACGGCCAGCCCCAGGTCTCCCAGCTGGAGCCCCCTCTGACCTTGGCCTGGAGGACGGCCAGCCCCCTTCCTCCTGTAGCTTCTCACCAGACCTGACTCCTCAGGGCTCTCTGGGTGCAGACTTCCTTGGGTGAGATCCCAGGTGGCCCTGGCAAGGCTAGTGAGGCACAGCCACTTTCTGAGCCCGCTCTAAGGAGAAGGGTTTGGGTGGGGTGGGAAGGCTGCCAGGGCACCAGGAGGCTTAGGGGAGGGTGGTGCTGAGCACCTGCTCTGGGGCGTGAGCACTGGGCTGGATACTTCTCACTCCTGGCACTGAAAGCAAGGCTAGTCCTGGTGTGGGGCAGGAGCTCTGGCGACCCCCTAACCTCTCCTCCCAGCCAACTAGGCCCAGCCCCAGGGCTTTCTCAGCTCAGGAACCTCAGAGAGGTGGTTTCTATGAAGCAGCTGGAGCTGGGTAGGCCTGGAGCAGCCAAGAGAATCAGAGGGACCTTGACTCAAATTTGGAGACTGGAGCTGGACCAAAGACTGGCCACCTTGTAAGCCAAAACCCTGCCCTGCCCCTCTGTAGTTCCACATTGAGTCTTAACTGTACTGTAATCTAAACCTGGGGGTCAACTCTATACTCTCTAATTCCAGGCCGGAAACACCAGTCCAATCTAGTCATTTTCCAAGCAGCCTCCTCCTTCAGGCAGCCTACCCTGCCTGACCAGGCCCAGGACACAGCACAGCTCAGAGCCCTTGAGGCCTTGCTGAGCCCTGGGCTCAACCTGCTGCCCCTACACACATTCACTGTGTCTCCTGGATGGCAGAGTATACACACACACACACACACACACACACACACACCCTGCCCCACAGATGATGCCAGGTTGCCACACCTTCTTCCATCTCTGCCTAAACAGTCTTGGAAGGCAGCTCTGGAGCTGATCTTTTGAAAGGCCCCTGGCTTGTCCAGAAATTCAGCAGCCTTCAGGACTGATTGAATCCCCAGTGTGGGAACAGTCCCCACTGGCACCTCATGTCCCACAAGCTTGCTCCTGGCTGCACACTCCAGGGAAGCCCAACTCCAGAAGTAGAGCACACTTCCCAGGTCTGTCGCCTGAAAGCTGAGCTGTCATTCCCTGTCTTCTCCAATGGTGGTCTCCTTCCTCTTCCAGGCCTCTAGGTGGTGATGGAGGGGGTCTTCAGAAGAAAAGAACCCTCCCAAAATGGCTCTGTTCCAAGGACTCATGAAATGGTGACGTTTAATGAGAACCTCCCACCCCTCCCACCCTGTATATACATCTATAAAAAATTCAAATACAGCAAGTTACCACTGAGTCAGACTAGAAGGGACTCACAGGGCCTTAAATACTGTGGGGTAGGGCAGGTCATGAGAGGGTCATACAAAATGGGCAGGTGTGAGGGGCTGCAGAGTGTGGGCACTGGGGGAGGGAGATGGCTGGGCCCCCCCACCAGTGTCAGGAGCTTATAATCTGATGGTGGCAACAGAGACCCTGGGACAGACAGGAGGCTGGGGCAGGAGGAGAAACTGTAGGTGGGAGAGGCCCCCTCAGGCCCCCCAAGGGCTCCTGGGGGTCGCTGGCATTGGAGGGTCCAGCCCAAGGGGCAGGGTGAGGGGGTCTTTGGTGGGTGGGTTAGCTGCATGGTCCTGCTCCCTCAAGAGAGGAAGGTGGGCCAGTTTGATGTGGTGGGGCTAGGGGGTGGCAGGCCCGGCCCGCCGGGGTCTTTACAAATTGTCTGAAGAGAATGCAAAAGGTCCTCCTGCCCGTGTGCAAAATAGAACCCGGCGTCTGTGGGCTCAGCTCCAGCCTCCTGCTCCTCTCAGGTGCTCTGGCATGTTCTTGCAAGGTCCTGGCTCTGGGGAGAAAGGGCAGGGACTGTGAGAGATGCACTAGGATGGGGGTCCCCTGAGTCCCCTCTCCCACCCATCGTCACTCGACCTACCAGATCAGGAGACTGGCAGTGGTGGCAGCAGCAGCCAGGGCCAGGGTGACAGGGACACTGATCCAGGAGGGTATGGTGGGCCCTCCGCCGCTGCCCAGCTCCCCGGTGTCACAGATCTTCGTGGTGGGAGGGGGTGCCAGTGAGCTCGTGGTGCTGGTCGTGGTCTCTGGGGAGTATGGGGGAAACTTAGGGCAGGGCCAGGGCCTAGGGCCCCACTCTGATCTGGGAGTGCAGGGGGCACACTGTTCCTACTTCCTACATGAGGTGGCCGCTGCCTGCCCCTCCAGACACTCCTGTCTCCTCTCTCAAACATGCCCTGCCTCCCCTATCCTGTAGGTTCTGTTTCCTAATGCTCCAAGATGACCCCTCTGCCCAACAGCTCCTTCCCAGGGATGTCTAGATAGCAAGAAGCAGGAACATAGGGTCAGAAAGACAGATGGGAGTTTGGTAGCCCCAGAGAGTATGGAGACCTTTAGAGCAGAGGCTCCCAGTAGAGGTAAGAGTTGAGGGGAGCAGGATAGAGGCAGACTTCAGGGCAGGTCAGCAGAGAGCACAGGGCACAGGGCACACGGTACAGGGTACGGGGATGGAAAGGGGCTCACCCGGGGCCTGTGCCTCGGTGGTGAGATGTCTGGGCTCCTCCGTCCAGGGTGTGGCGTGGGCAGCCACGCTCCAGTCACTCCATGTCCCAATCTCATTGTCCTTGGCTGCCACCTGGATGATGTACTCCTTCCCGGCGTAGGCGTCCGTGATGGTGTGTGCGGTGCCATCTGACAGCTCCACCTGCAGCCAGACCATGAGATAGGAGCAGGTAAGGACACTTGGGGGAAGGAGAACAAGGCCCAGACCCCAGCAGGAACCAGGAATACTGTTGGGAAGAGGGAGCTAAAGATGCCCCTGGAGGGGGGCCTCCCTGGGGGAGGACAATGGACAGTGAACGTATCCCTGCTGGAGACTGAGATACAACTAGGAGAAGACCCCAGGGAGGGAAGTCGTCCCGGAAGGAAAGGAATGACATCCTGAGGAAAACTAGGACCCCAACCCCAGGGACAACTCTGCTTAGTGAGTAGGATGCTGCTGCTGGCCCAGCTCCCTCACAGTCCACCCGGAGCCTGACCTCAGAGCCAGTCTGGAGGTGACAAGAATAACGGAGGGAGAGGCAATGAGGTGTCCTGTCAGAAACAGGTGATGGAGAGGGTCACAGGCATGACACTGAATTTGCATTTTGGCTCCATCTCTTAGAAGCTTGGAGACTGGGGCTGAGTTGCTTGGCTTCCAAAGGCTTTGCCAGCCCCATCGGTAGAGCAGTGTTAATGACAATACAGGAGCGAGCTCTCAGGGTTACAGTGAAGACTAAACCATGTGGAAAGCCCCAAGCAGACTTCAGCCAGCTCTGCCACTGTGGTTCCAGCTCAGAGCCCAGCTTCCCTGATGCCTACTGGACCCATCAGCCAGGCTCCGGCTCCAGCTTCTACTGGGCCTCTGCCTCAGGAAGGCCGCAGGTGTAGTTATCACCCTGTCCGCAGTGAGAAGGGCTAGGACAGCCCCTGGGGTTGCAGGACAGCCATCCTACTTCTTCCTGGAGGCATCACCACCCTGCCCCGCTGGCTGGCCCCATCCTGCTGGTCCCCCCCACCCTCCAGGCCAGGCTGCCTGTCCTCGCCCCTCCCAGGCCCAGGCTGGGCTCTGGTTCATCTCAGCGGCACCCGCGGCCTCATTAAGCCGCCTCGTAAACAGGGGCAGCCAGTGGGGGTGGAGAAGGGGGCTGCTCTGGGCCAGGTCTGGCTTTGGGGTTTTTCTTGGTCCTTGTTCAACCTTTCTCCCAGAAACCTGGGCTCTGGGCTATCTGACCTGACAGGAAGTGAGTACACATGTGTGTGTATATGTACTCATGCGTGTGCCAGCAGGTCCAAGTGGAACAGAATGCCTGCTAGTTCTTGCTGAGTCTGTGGTTCTGACATGGGAGGCCCTGGTAAAGGTCAGGGTCACGCTGAGGGACTTTTAGGCCCAGACCCTGTGCTCGGTAAATTCTACTTCAGTCCTGAAAAATGGGTGGCCCACAACACTCTCTTCTCCTGAAGCTGAGGCCCCAATCCCACCCATGAGCCTTGAGTCTCTTTTTGCCCTGGAAAATAGTAGCCTGTGGATGAACAGCCGTGGCTCTTTCCAGGCCCTTGTCCCTCCTTCCAGGCCTGTGTCCCTCCACGTTGTCTCTCCCCAGAGATAAAGGAGAGGGCCAAAGGAGCAGACTAAATCGCCATAGCACCATCACTCCAAGAACATATCCCAGGGCCCAGGGATGTGTCGGCAGCCACGTGGCCTGGGCCTGAACCCCTCGCTAGGCTGTCACTGGTCACTTAGTCTGTTCCTGTAGGAGAGAGGTGCCTCAGATGGCACGAACTCCTTCGCTGCTGGTATCCACTTGCCTTTGTCAGATGCAACAGATGTCTGCGCTGCCCCCAGGCCTTCACCCAGGTTAGTGCCAGAGCAGGGAACCCACGCCAGTCCAGTACTTGCCTTCCCCTTGTCCATGCTGACGCAGTCCCTGCCAGGCCTCTTGGTACCTATTCTTTTCAATTCCTGGCTTATATTTTTCTCTATTTTCCACTTCACATCCCTTCTCAATCATACACCTGTCTCTGTCCAAGATCAAGGGCAGGGAAAATAACGTTCTGTTCAGAGCAAAACTCCAGCTGAAAAGAGCCATAAATCTAGCCAACCCTAATGCCTATGAGACATGGAACCAGGCTAGGCCGTGCCATGGGCCACTATGCTCTTGCCCTGGAACCTGCATATTCTGTTCTGCCCCTGTCAGTGTAGGGGTCAGTTCTACTCATGGTACAGGCCATGGCACATGGCCTTGGCATGTTAGTCCAATGCATGTATGAAGCATGGCTCCTGCTGGGAGCCACGTGTGTGTGGTGTTCCCGTGTGTGTGGTGGGCAGTGTGCCAGGTCCACTGTAAGGCGTGTGCGCTGCGACGCGCAGGGCTGCTGCCTGTAACTTGTTAGCAGGGGAGGGGTGCTTGTGAAACTAGACCCTGGTTATTAGCAATGCATTAGGCGCGGGCAGCTGGCCAGGCAGGAGGGACTCCGGACTCTGTCAGGAACACGTGAGTATATGAGCAGCCTTTGTAGGGGCCAGGCCCACAACTGGACAGGCATCCTGGAATCAAATTACGTGCTTTAAAGGCTAGAAAGGAGGCAGGTATAAGGAGATAGAGCTGGGGATGCTGCCTCCAGTGAGGGACATGTCGACACCCAGCAGCCAGCCTGGGTTACCCTATACTCTCCCAACTCCATTCCTAGTTCACAGACCTCATTGGCCACACAGAGCACCCACAGCTCTCTGTGATGCTGGGCTCTCAATATAAGAACACCCGTGAATCTGCTCTGAGTCCCTGGCTGCTCTCCACTGCAGTGTGATCAACAACCAGACCACACACTGACCCTTGTCCACTGCTTGATTCTCAGCCCAGGCTACCACCTGACCTGTAACTTTAAGCTAATCTCTAAGCTGGGTCTGACTGTGGAGTTGTGATGGAAGGCATGGTTTAAACTCTCTCTGGATCAAGCTAGACCTTGGTGCATGATTCTGACCCCCTGAGCCCATCTACGAATCCTAGAGGACAGGGACTGTCCTATTGCTAGGTGCAGCAGAGACCCAAAGCCTGGGCCAGCGTGCAAAGAGATGCCTGGTTAGGGATGACCTCAATAGGCGACAAGGGGGACATGCTTCTTGCCCTGCCTCTATGTCCCTTTAGCACTTCACTGCCTGCCACAAGGTCACTGGGAACCCTAAGGACATTTCTATCTGCTTGATCCTTTCTCTCCCAAAAAGATCCTCTGACTGCCATCAGGTCTCATGCTGGAGCTGCTGTCACCTGGGTATGGGTGCTTCTCATGCTGTGGCTTTGATTCAGGCACCTAAGATCTGGGAGGACAGGACACTCACATGCTGCCACTGGTCCAGGATGAGTGGCCGGTAGCGCAGAAAGAACTTGAGAGGAAAAGACTCAGGATCAGGCCACGTTGAGGGGGTCTGCCATGTCACCTCCAGCCGGCGAGGGTTGCTGGGCACTGGCCGGGCTACCACATTTTCTGGAGGGTCAGGCTTCACTGTTTAGGAGAGAGAGTTCTATTAGTGTACTGACCACTGGGAAAAGTGCATTTTGTCACCATTTCTACTGCTAACCATTGTCATATTCGTCATGGTCATCATCCCTCTTCTCTGCTGTCAGTTCTAGCAACCACTATTCACAACCCTCTCATTACCTTTACTGCTGATATCCCCCTCACCACCAATGATCGTCTCTACAGTAAGCGTTACCAGGTCTTCCTACTAGTATCCCAAGTTTCATTGCATCATGTCAACACCAGCCCCGTGCTGACCAGCATCTCAGTCACAAAGCCCACATGATGCCTTCACTGTGACCACTGTCACTCCCACTGCCAGCTGAATGACTTGTATGCCAGCATCACACATTCGCCGGGCCCTGGTTTCCCCCCAACTTTTCCAGTTCTAAACTAACACGTGTCCTCTCTTAAGAGAGCCTGGGTCTGAAGCTGCTCTGTGGGCTAAGGTTAAAAGGTAGCCGCAGATACTGCAGACCTGGGTTAGAAACAGATTGGTGACCCCATGGGAACATCTAAGGGTCCCATATAGAAATACTCTGGCTGGGGATCCAGCCTTGGAGTAGGGAGATGATAGGGGCAGACAGAGTGTCTGGTGGAGATGAAGCAGAGAGAGGTAGAACTGGATGGGGCAGAGACCAGTAGAGGTTCAGGCTGGACGGATGGGAATGGGCAGGAGGATCTGGCTCAGCTGGGGCAGCAGGCAACAGAGGGTCTGCCTGGGATGGGGCAGGGGCAGACAGAGGGTCTGTTTGGGAGGGGTTCGGGGAGAGTGTAGTATCTGTCCCAGTCCTGTCTCCTGTTCTGACACCTCATTCATCACAGGCCGTAAGGAAGCCATTAGCATGGGGGCGGGGGGGCTGCAGCTGCACAAGGGTCTGGCCCAAGTGCCCCCTCCCCCTCCACACTCTGGAAGCCAGAAAGACGATGGAAAGAGCCGCTGGAGAGTTCTCTCAGCCCTGCAGGCAAGAGACACTCCTTGCATGGCCACAGGTGTGTATACATCATGCATGTATGTACACATGTATGCACATATCATGTACACCTGAGCACAGGCATATAACATACCACATACATGTGCATGCCTGTGACCATCATCTCTGCTCACATTTATCTCTGACACGCTTCCACTTGTACACTCCCAGTGAAATAGGCAGAGGGGACCCCACCACCACTGCCACACGCACCGATGGTGAACTCGTCGAAGGTGATGGCCGTGGCGTTGTGACCCAGGGCGTTGCTGACACTGACCGAGACCTTGTACTTGATGGTGGAGAACAGGTGCATGTAGCGGATGTGGCAGCGGTTCTTGAGGGCTGGGTCCTTTTCACAGACCATAGTTTTGGAGCCGTGCCTGGGGAGGGGGAGGCCCAGGTACTGTCATCAACATCAAGGGTCACATGGGGGCAGGCTGGGGTAAGGTCAAGCCCAAGGCTGGGCTGGGGTCAGGACTCAGGGCATGGTCGGGGCTAGAGGAAGATGAGAGGTCAGGGATGGAACCGAGTCACAGGTGCAGCTACTCACAGCACGGTCACATTGAAGGTGTTGGGGAGGTAGGTGGGGGTGGGTAGATGCCAGTTGCAGTAGAAGCCCTTGGGGTAAGTGTTGGAGCGGCAGCTGAGTACGGGCTCCCGCGGCGGCACTGGGGGTGAGGATAGCAAGGTCAGGACATCCTTAGAGCCCCCAGTCCCCTGCACTAGTGTGGAGACAGGTGGCCCCAGAGCCCCAGCCCCCAACCCATCATCCATGCCAAAGGTGGGGAGGTAGGGGCTGTCAGCGAGGGTCTGAGGCTTCCCAGGCCACGGAGAGCCAGATGTTTAATTAAAGAAAAACAAGGACTGTGCAGAGGAAACCCCCCACCTGCTCAATGGAGGCAGGAACTGTGGGGAGCGGGAGCTGTGGGCCTCAGCCCATCAGTCATGGAGTGGAGGTGACGTCCTGGGGAATCGGCCCCAGTCCACATCTCCCACCATACTGTCTCCTCCCAGGACAAGATTATCCTATGGGGACCAAGCTGAGTCTTCAATGGGTCCTCTGGTTGCCAGGTTCATTGGGGGGCACTTCCTAGAGAAAAGACACCCCAGGAGAAACTGAGACACACAAGAGCTCACTGGTTACACAGGAGAGCAGTGCTGGGCAGTGAGTCATGTGCACATCTGGGTAGGTGTCTGCACACAGGAGTGTACACTGCATACACATGTGTGGGAGAAGCATGAGTGACTGGTGACACGCAGGAGCATCTATGTGAAAGTGGATGTGATGTATGTGGAAGCATCTGTTACAGGAAACTAGAGTTCCCTCAGTTCACCTCAGCCCCAGTCCCTGCTTCTCCACCTCAAACCATTCCAGCAGCCCATGACATGATCAGCAGTTGCCTTCCCTCACTCTAGAATGTGAAGCCCCAGAAAGAAAGCACACCGTAAGCCAGAGCTGGAAAGCCCCCCCCCCAATATGGTTATCCACCCACATGACCATACTCAGCAAGTCCTTTCTGTTGTCTAACCACACATTTTGCTGCTTTGAGCACTTAGCCCAGCTGTCCTACCGTCCAGCACTGGGCCAGGTGTGAGGACAGGCAGCTCAGGTTCCTGGAAGGAGGCAGCTTCTGAGATCTGACCCCGGCAAGGAATTTCTGTCTGCGGCTCCAGGGACACTGACACCTCACTTCTGCCCTCCCCTCCCCCACCCTGCCTGACAGGTGGACAGGAAATGGGAGGGGGCAGTTCAGTAAGCCAGGGACAGTGAGGGGAACATGTCTATGCTTGTAGGGTGGCCCTGGTGACACACGGGACTGCAGGCTTCTGTCTGCAGTGCACACATGATTCTGAGTGACCGTGACTGCCTCACATGTGCGTGTGCCCAGTGTGAGTGACACTGTGGAGGAGCCCAGATCTGGCCTTACAGCAGAGATGAAGGGACAGAGAGGCATCAGGAGAGCTCCTCTGCAGCAGGTGGAGTGACAGTGTGGGGGCCTGGCAGCTCTGCTGCCAGTGCCAACTGAGCGCTACCAGGGCCAACCTGTGTTCAGCACCCTTCCCGTCCACCTCCCCAAGGAGGCCTCCCTGGCCCCGCACCTGGTCCATATTCATCCTGCGTGTGTTTAGTATCCCTCCCCTATCTGCCCACGGGTGCTGAACTCTGCATGGGGGTAGGGGCGGGGGCAGCCAAGGACACAGGAAGTGCCTTCTGGGGGCCTGTGGGCCAGGCCAGAGTTGGCAGCCACCCCGGGAGGAAAGGACATTCCGAGGTCGGCTGAGAAGCCTCCACTCTCTGCTCCTGCTGCCACCCCCCTCCCTGCCTCCAGCTTCAAAGGAGAAGGGCGCTGGGGGTGGAGTGGAGACTGAAGCCTGCAGAGTCAGCTCCCTGCTGCCCAGGACACTTTGGAGGACAGAGCAGGCCAGGCACAGGACTCTCAGGCCCCCGCCCCCGGCCAGCTCCCCCACTGACCAGTCTCTGCCATTCCCCTCTGGCTATCCTCCCCACTTAGACTGGCCTCCCGTTCAAAACTCCCCCTCCATCCAGCACCCCATCTGACTGAGCAGGTTGAAGGGGGGCCAGGGCTGGGCAGGGGCTTTGTCATCTGGCTACTCCTGCCTGGCCCTGGGCCCTGAGGAGGGAAGGGCTTGGGTTTCCTGACAGGGACCAGGTTTCTCAGAGGGAAAGGAGGAAAGAAAAACAAAGCAAAAGGAAGAAAAGGAGTGACTTACTACAGCTGGGGCCCAGCTGAGGGCCGGGTGGGCGGTGGTGGGGTGCTGTGAGACATGGAGTGCGAGACTTTAGGGACAGCATGGGATCGGGAGGCCTGCTATGTGTTGTGAGCTGGAGGAAAAGCTGTATTTAAGACACTGTGATTGTGAGGCACTGCATGTGGCTCTGAAGCTTCATGAACGAGACCGTGGGCAGTCATACAACTCTAAGGCTGGAGGCTTCGAGGGACTGGGTGGCTCGTGTGACTCAGAGTGAGGCTGCGGGATTACAGGGCATCTCCGCCTGGGAGGCTGTGCCTCCAGGGTCCTGGTTGAGAATGCTACTGTGCCTGTGTCTGAAACACAGTGACAGCTATGGTGCACACATGAGACCTAGCTACATGATGGACCTGTGGGTATGGGAAGATGCTCCAGATGCCCACCAGATCTGTATGTGTGGGCTGGACACTGCGGCACGTTAGAGAGGGTTGTGAACAAAGCTTTACACACACATCACAGCATCTGGAGCACTCTGGGCGTACAAGCATGCTCCTAGACATCCGGGCATCCTTAGAGTCCTCTTGTGGGGGCTCCCAAGATGCCTTGGTAACTGTCAGCTGTAGCAGGGTATCCCATGTGTGTATGCGTGTGCATGCATGTGTGTGCCCCCGCTGGCCCAAGGTTTGTTTGTTTTCCTCCTAATTGGCTTGTTTTTCCATGTCCAGCCCACCAAACCGCATGTTTTTCCTCTCATCTCGCCAGCCGGCCTGGGCTGGAGCCCCCGGCACGCACGAGGCCTGCCCATGGCTCAGAGAGGAGGAGGGGCGGGCTGCCTACACCCTGGGCCAGGCCAGATCAGGCCAGGGTGGGGCAGCATGACCCTCTCACTCCAGCCCTGCCCACACCACACCCACACTCCTCTTCCCTCCCAACATTCAAGGACCATGGCCTGTCCCAACCATATCTTGTGGTATCTCTCAAAGCACCCCAAGTTCTAGGCTGTCAAATGCCCCTTCCTGCCTCCTGCTCATGATTTCTCCCCAGACATTTTCAACCACAGCACTCTTCCAGACAGGGCTGGGAGAAAACAGTGCTGAACCAGGGGTGCTGAAGTCTCCATCCTGACCACTCTCAAATTTTAAAAAATCTGAAAACTGGATAAGGAAACCGCCCATTTAAAAATTATTTTAATCTCTGGTTTGTTTTAGCTTAGAATCAGAGTGACATTAAATCAGCAGAGTCTAGTAAACAAAAGGATGCTATTAAAAGGAACACTGTGATCCCATTTCCTAATGTGGGGGCTCCTTTCATCATCCTAGGTAGGAGTCTTTGGAGTTATTTATTGAGGATCCACCCGAGGGCACAAATGTGGATCAGGAAAAAACAGTGCAGGGAGCAGCCAGCCAGGTTAAGGACTCTTTCAACAGAATGTTTTTATGAAACAAACATAAAAATCTTGCATGTTTAAGATAAATTTTAAATAAATTAATTTCTGAATGACCCACAAATCAGGAGTAACTTGGTCCAGTTCTCTAAGAATTGGTAATAAAGATAATTTGATATTGAATGTTGCCAAATCTAGTCTCTTGTTACTTGTTTAAAGTGGCTGAGACAAACATGATTAATATCCCCTGCTTCTCTGGCCAGGCCTTTAGAAGGAAGTAAGTACCTGCTACGAAGGCTACAGACAGTCCATGGCCAGCCCTCTGACAGCAGGGCCTATGATGGGAGAGCACTGTGTGTGAGCAGTCTGGGCACTGGACACAGCAGGGCAGCTGTGGGCATGCCCTGTGGATAAGAACCATGGCCGTTACTTCAAGACCCAATTCCCTTCCAATGAGCTCTTAAAGATCACAGGAATGGGGCCCAGAGTCACCAAAACTCACTCATCCCTGCTAAACCTTATCCATCCTGAGGCCTTTTGAGACACATGCTGAGAAGACAGGGCTATGGGCGACTCATGAGCTCCCCCACCCCGGTCAGGGCCCAGGGCTTGGCTTGAGGGCTCTTCTGCTGCTGGACACCAGTGTGCCTGGTTCTGTATTTCTCAGACTGGCCAAAAGGGGTCACTCCACACTTGGCTTGTTAACTAAAGGGTTTGGCTTGAATGCCATTTGACTTAAACACTTTTTTGAAAGGAGAAAAGTGTATCTCCACCAAAACCTATTTTCATACTTCATTCAGCCCCACTGGTGGGTCAGTATTTTTGGAAGGAACTTTGAGCAACTCTTCAGCCTAACATTTCCCATGGCTGTCCGCACCAGCCTGTCTCCAAACCCCTTAAACATCTTCTAGGTAGCTTCCGGGGAATACAGGAGCTGTCTTTGGGTTCTGGAGAGAATCACACTCAAATTGGATGAGGGTGGAGGAACATGAGGTTTTTTGGTTTTGTTTTGCATTTTAAAGACAAGGTCTCACCAAGTGGTTTAGGCTGGTCTTGAACTCATTATCTAGCCCAGGCTGGCCTCAAACTTACACTCGGGAGGCCTCCTCCTGCCTAGGCCTCCCGAGTGCTAGGATTACAGCTGAGTGCCACCTTACCCAGCCAGAACATGAGTTTTTTACTAAAGAGGAAAAATGGAAAGGTTTTCTTAAAGTTCACTCTTGGTGGGAAACTGCGTGTGAGCAGGTCACATGACCCTCGGTGATGCTGATGACCTCACCATTTTGCCTTGTCCCAGCCCTCTTTCCAGATCACTATCACCTGATCTCCCTCCCCTCTACCTTCCTGCTGGCTTCTGCTCTCTTCTTGTGGCTTATTTCTCCCCAATATCTCCTTATATGCTGATGGTCTGGATTCTGGATGTCTCCTTGCCCCATCCTCCCTCCTGTGGAAATCTCACCCCCTTCATGGCCTTAATACTGACAGCCCCGGAAGTTTCCATCTCCAGCACAGACTCTGATCCCTTAACCCCACACCCTTGGACTCAGTGATTATCCAGTTGTCCCATGAGTACCACCACCCTACAAGTCTGCAGCAGATGTCTGGGAACCACGTACCCTTTACTCACACCATCTCTCCCTGCCAACTTGGGGAGTTATTTGCCTAAGAGCTTCCTCTGGCCACTAAGACCTGTTTTTGCTTGTTGGGACATCAAACCAAAACTGCTGGGGAATTACGGCATTCCCCTACACACACACACACACACACACACACACACCAGAAGTAAGTGTATAGACACCCCAGCTCCCTCACCCTGCAGGCAGAAAAGTGTGTGTTCGGTATTCACATCCAAGGCTCCCTCAGTGACGGCTCCAGTCACCAAGAGGTAAACTCTGATAACAAATGCACTGCTAACTTAGCTTACTTCTTCTATATCAATTTCCATTTCTTTATGGTGTTTCCATCACCATCTGCCTATGAATCCTCATCTAATGAGCTGATTCTAAGGAAATCCAAACCTAGACACTGTTCAAACAGAATGCAGCGTCTCTTCCTCCCATTCCTTTCTGCTGTAACGATTGTACCTCCAGCTACCTCCTACTCCCTACTCTCCTGTTCTTGCCACCTCCAACCAATTACCAATTCCTGGAGTGGGGGATTATAGCTCAGGGGTAGAGCATTTGACTGCAGTTCCTGGAGCCCCAACCTGACCCCATCTTCCCCAACTCCATGCCCTGGGCCCTCATCCCCTCGCCTGTGTCTAGCGACAGCCTCCTTCCTGCTCTGGATTTTCCCCATCCAACATGTCTCTCCCCAGCTTCCAGGACAAAGATTTGCTACCTTCCCCCTTTAAACCAGCCCAAGTGGCCTCCCAGCCACTCCCAGTTTCTGAGGCCTGTACGTCACACTCAGCTCCATGCCACAAATCATGTTTCCAAAAAGCCCAGTGTATCTTCTGAGTCTCCATGTGCCCCCTTGCCTAAGAAGCTTTCTTTCGCGGGTCCTCCCAGAGGGCTTTGACCTCTACTTGCACAGCCATCTGCCCCCTGGCATCCCTCAGACCTCTGGCCAGCCCTTTGAGAAGAGACACAGTCAAACTACCTGAGCTCAGAGCTGTGACTCTAGGGTCCCTTCCCACTTGGGCCCCTCACAGGCCATGCCTTGCCAGCCCTTCTGTGCCCATTCTGCTGTAACAGACAGGACTTTAGGATCCCAAAGACACTTTTAGAGGTGAGATACACAGGTATTATGTCTAAGGGTCTAGATTCATTGGGCAAGACCAGGCTCAGAGGTCAGAACAGGTTAGGGTGGAGCCAGAAGGCAGGGGTCAGGCTACAAGCCCTTCCCTCTCCCTAGCCCCTCCCATTGGAAGAGGACTTGGTCTGCAGTCTGAGCCTGAAGGTAGGTGGGAGATCACATAAAGCGGTAGGGGTAACACTTACAGCCCACATGGAGCAAGACTTGGTGGTGCAGGTGCCAGGAGTCACGATGAAAGCAGGCATAGAGGCCACTGTGGCCCAGTTCCAGGCCATGGAGCACCAGCTGAGAGCCATTGAGAAGGTCAGGGGCCAGATCCGTCCCGTTCACTCGCCACGTCACAGCTGCGTCCCAGTTTGCTGTCCCACATGGCAATGTCACATCTGAGCCCAGGCGCTCATACTGTACGTGGGGTGCCTCTGTAGGGACGGAGAGGACACAGCAAAGTTCACAGGTCACGGCCCTACCTAGCACCACCTGTGAATGTATATAGACAAGACCCATTGAAGGTACACAAGTGAGACCAGGGAGAGGCGCTGTGACCATTAGACTGGCTCACTGGCTCGGGAAGAAGAGGATGAGTAATTTCTCTTTTGCAGGTATATGAGTGTTTCTAAAATTGTATTTGTGTGATTTACAGGAGCTCAGAATATACATGTGCACATGTGTATATACACATGTGAAAGAAAAGAAGAGTGAGGTTATCCAATTTGTGTAGTGTAGGAAAAGTCAATTCTCCATGAGAATCCTGTTCACCTCCAGTACCCAGGGGCATTTACAAACTTTTCCCAAGCCCCCATGAGTCTAACTTCTTGCCACCAACAGGTCCAGCCTGTCCCTGACCCTCATCATCCAAGGAAGCTGGCATTGAGAGATGCCAGTCCTGGATTCTAATCTCTACCTCTTACTGCTGTTTCTCTGCCTCATCCTTGTCTTTCCGTCCTGTGTCTCTCTCCATCTCTCTTCCTGCCTCTCTCCTTCTCCCTGACTCTCCTTCCCTCCAGAATCCTTCCCCCTCTGCCATGTAGGGCTCAGCAGAAGTACAGAGGGTGCACCAGGAAGTGACCCCTGGGCAGCTCCTGGCAGTAGTCCACTTTGTGAAGTGGGACTGTAGTGTCGGGAGAGGCTGGGGCTGAGTGAGTGCTCTGACCATTGCTCTCCTGTGCCTGGGAAGGAACTGTCAGAACCAAAAGCAAACGGCCAGCCCTGGCCTCGGCAACCCAGGCACCCAGCCATGAAGGACTGAGCCCAGGAGACTGGAGGTGGAAGGGTGGAGGGAGCACCTGTCCAGGGGCAGCCCCAGGTGAGGAGGCAGTGAGCGGGAGAGTGAGGCAGATCCAGCAGAAGCAGCAGAGAAGCAGGCACACAAAGCCCAGGAGACCGAAAGGAATTGGAATGGAATGGAATCCTAGGACACCCCAGCTCCAGCTCCTCACTCTGCCCCCTGAGCCTGGAAGGACAGATGCTTCACTCTTCCCAGCCAGATCTGTGGCGTGAGGCTGGGAGGGGAGAAGGGGGGGCGAGGGGCAGGGGGGCCTGCAGGGTCCCTCGTTAACACTCTTCACATCTCCCTTCCAGAGAGCCGCCCTGCTGAGTTGGGGGATTTTCAGAGGCAATTCCTGTTAACGAGCCAATTAAGTTGGGCCAGTGGCCTCTTAATTAGACTTGTTAACACTACCAGGATGGGGGGGATATCCCCCCCAGCCTGCCAGCCACCCCTCCCCCTTACAACAGCCCCCTCCTCAGGACTGCTTCTCTCTGCTGGAACATCTGTCCCTGTTTGCTGCCTCTGTCGTCTGGTTCCAGGGTCTCTGTGTGACTCTCTTACTGCCTGTCTGTCCTGCCCCTCTCTGAGCCTCTCTGTCCCTGTCAGAGGAAAAGAAAGCAGGAAACCCAGCCAGCCCTGACCACTCGTCTGTGGGGCCTGGGACCAGCCAAACAGAGGATGAACGGGGCGGAAGGGCGGTGGCTGGGGGCCTTGGAGGCCACAGCTGTGAGCCTGGACTAGAGACTGAACAGGGGCCTCCCCCTGACCAGAGGCCCAGTGTCCATGATTCAGGCCATTGAACCCCCCGCTCCAGTCCACCAGCTCCGGCCACTAAGCGGCCCCCCTCTTTCCTCCCTTCCAAAAACCTGGAGCGTCCAGGAAACATGCCAAGCCCCTCTCTCTGAACACCACCCCCCAGCAGAGACTTTGTATCCAGCTGCCTGAGGAAGAGGCTGAAAACTGACCGTTGGGGAGGGGGGTGTGACCATCATCTTCCCAGTGGCAACACATCCAGCTGACCTAGAGCAACTCAGAATTAACATGAACCCCAGACGGCCTTCAGTGCAGGGAGGCAGGCACAGCCACAAGAGGAGGAGACAGCAACGAAACAGCACAAAAAGTACAATGGCAACCAGGTGACATTTTCCCAAGACCATGTACCCTCATAGGACAAACAGAAACAACCACACAACAATAACAAAACAGGTATAAGTGCCTGTCTGGCAAGCGTGAGGTCGTGAGTTCGATCCCTGGTACCAAAAAAAAAAAAAGATTAAAAAAATGACAAAACAAGGATGAAAGGGCAGGGCAGGAATAAAAAATGACAGAACACAATGTGGAGGCAGAGGAGTGGGTGACATGACCATCACACAGTGTTACAACTGCTACAATAATGCAACTGCAACACACACAACCAAGCAATAACTCCAGAGATGGCCATAATTTAATCCTTTGTCTTTGGACAGCTTTCCTCCCGCCCTGTGGGTGCCCCTACTGATGTGCTGTCCATTTCAGAAATTAAATCAAGCAGCAGGGGGAGGACGGGGCTCTTGGCCCTGACGCGGTGACAAATGCTCCAAAGGAATCAGCTGTGAAAAGGTTGTTAGAAGCCAGGATGAGAGGCAGAGACAGGATGAGGTCATGGACATGGAGAACACAGAGGGACAGAGCTGACGGCTCTCTCACACCTGCACACACAGACTCACATGGGGACCACATGCCGGAAGGAAACAGTCCTCCCGGGCGTCCTAAGCAGCTTGACATCACTACACACACAGGATGAGGATGGTCACCTACGAAGAAGCAGCAGCCATGGGACTGCAGTCACATGTGGACACTGCAGAGACAGTGTCCCACTTCAGAAACGGTAACACCTGATACAAGGTCACAGGCATTCATACAAGGGCACTGTCACCCACAGGCACAGTACGCATGGAGGCAGGTCTCTTACACAAGGAAACAATTTAATAGGAACATAAAAAGATACAGCACTGTCACACATGAGGTAGAGTCTCAAACACAAGAGTACAGTCTCTAAAAGGGCACAGTCACACAGACAATGTCACACATAGGACACAATTCACAAGGGTAGAACCACACACAGAAACCCACTCACACAGGGACATACAGTCACCTCCGCAAGAGAAGTCTCCCACCGTCTCAGAGATGTGGCCGTGTGGCAAGGCCTCAGCCACGTGAGCCACCCTTTGACACAAGTGGAGACCTCTGCATAAAAGGCAGAGACCACAGACAGGCCCTGCGCAGGCGCTGTGGCCAGAGTCTCTCTAGGTCTCACTGTGTTGATCTCATCACAGGCAGAGTCCACAGAATCTTAAACCCATGACCCTCCTGAACCCACACCTGAAAGGTGGCAGAGCTCAGCCATCAGTTCTGCTCCATGCCAGGGCTCATAGATGCTGCCTTGTTTCTGTCCAACCCAGCTGGACAGAGAAAGGGGCTGGAGATTTAGCTCAATGGCATAAGTGCTAGGTCGAGAGTTCGATCCGCAGTTCCAAAAAAAAAAAAGAAAAAAGAAAAAAAAAGGCAGGAGAAAGACTGGCAAAGCAGAGGGGCATTTTTTCCCCCAACAGGGGTGCAGCACTTGGTTCTAAGGGCTATGGGAAGGACTCAGCCCTCAGTGGACAAACAGGTGGCAGAGGAGGCTGCCAATGGCCCAGGCTCTTAGCAAACCCTCCCACTCCAGACTTTCCAGCTGACTGACTGGTCCCCTTCCTCAGTGCACCAGACGCTCCCACCTGTGCCCCTGCCTGCTTCACTGTCTCTGTCCCCGTTCCTTCTGGGGAAAGCCTGAGGGTAGACACTAACTAGCAGTCTTTCCCACTGCCTCCTATCAGTGCTCCCAAGCCCACACAACTCTCTTGAAGGAGATTCCCCTTTACCCCAAATACAGTACTGTCCAGGTCTCCAGGCCCTAGCCCCACTCTCAGTTCTCTTCCCACCTCTGTGCCCTGTATTCTTCCTAATCGGAAACAGGGACAGATCCTTTCAAGTCAGAGACACCATCAGCACATGACCTGTGCCTCCGAGACACCGCTGGGTCACCCTACATGTCAGTGTCACGTGACTACACGTCCCTCACCAGGCTCATATGCAACAACGCTCGCATGTGCCTGTGTGACTCCGGCGTGGTGCCTGTATGCAGCTATGTCAGTGAGAGTTCATGTGCAGCCCTGCGACAAGGTGGGCAGGAGGTCCCCCAAAACTCACCCTGTGGACTGTGTCTCTGGGTGTAGACAACTGCAGCAGCAGCAGCAAGCACGGCACAACAGGCCCACGGGACAGGAGCAGCCATCTGTAGAAGAGACAAGTAGGGGAGAGGGCAGCGTCAGCCCAGACTGGGGACCCGTTTTCAGGCAAGCCTGGGAAATCCCAGCCGGGGGCCAGTGCACCTGATCCCCAATGCCCTTCTTAATGGCTCAGGATCCTCTTTCCAGCAACAGAAAGCAACATGACTGGCATCCACGGGCAAAGGTTTTCTACGACAGTAGGAGGCAACCCACAGCGGTTTGCTGTCCAGTAGGCTGCTGCTGCAGAGCACAGGCAACGTGGATGAGTTACAGAATAGTGTTGATGCCAGGGTTATTTTTCTTTCTTTCTTTTTTTTTTTTTTTTTTTTGTCTTTTTCTTTTTTTATTGGTACTGGGGATCAAACTCACGACTGCCTGCTTGCAAGGCAGGCGCTTATGCCGCTGAGCTAAATCCCCAGCCCCCAGAGTTATTTCTCTAAAAACAAATTGATAACTTTACTGGTGAGTTGGCTAATTAACCATAAGATCACAGACTGAGAGGCAAGGGTACATGAGCCTTGTCAGATGTGGTTCACACTCTACTGTGTACCAGTGGTCTAGAAAAAACAAAGAATGTTTATATGTAAGTCCTTGTCAGGAACCCCAGGAGCCTGGGACCCCTGGCCCTGCAGATTACTTGGGTCTACATGTACCCATCTAGGTATACAAAGCGCACTCAGAACATGTCCCCAGAAGCTAGGAAGGACCCAGTGTCCTCCCTGGTGTCCTGCTTTCTGGGATGAGTCCAGCTGTGCTCCCATTCCCAACTGCAGCACACACTCAAACCTGAGGTAGAGAAATAACTATTTCCTGCAGAACAGACCCCAAATATGAAAACTTCCTCTTTCAGTCTGACGGAGAATTGTCAACCACAGAGAAGCAGAGGCCAAGAGAGAGATACTGAAGGTCCCTACCACTCAGCCAAGACTACATCAGAGACACAGACAATACAGACAACTTCACAGCAAAAACACTGCTGAGACAAAGGCCCAAACAACCACAGAAAACTCCAACAGAAGAGCACGTTAGAGACCGTTCCAGAGATCATGAGACAAAGATGGGTATAACCAGATAACCAGCCGGAGGAACTGTCAGAAAATAGCCTATAACCCAAAGAGCTGCCATGAACACTAAGAGACTCTTCAGACCCATGCGTACACACTGCCGGAGAAAGTACAAGCAGCAGAGGCAGAGAACCCACCAGCAACACAGTCAGAGAAACTGTCTGCCACACAGGCACATAAGTACCAGAGAAACTAACAAGACACACCAGGCATACACCCAGACAGCACCTGAGAAACAGCCAGACCCACAGCTCAGTCAGGAGGAATCCTCACCCTACAAACGCTGCCAGAAACACTGTCAGACACACAGTCAGACGCTTTGCCAGAGACACTGTCAGGGACACAGCCAGAGACACTGTTAGAAATACGGCCAGAGTGTTAGCCAGACACACATGCAGGGAAACTGACAAGAGACATACTGCCAGATACACCCAGAGAAAGTGCCAGAAACAGCTAGAAACAGGGCGGGCATGGCTGTCACACAGGGGAGATGATGGTGGGTAACGGTCTGCAGCAGCTGGGTGGAAGAGAACCTGACTTTCCGGGCTCCTCTACAGAAAATGGGTCCTGCCTGGCCTTTGCGCTCCCCAACCTCCCCAGGAAAGTCCCCTGCTTTGCATCTGTTTGTCCTCTGGGCCACAGCACAGGTCCCTTGACTGCCTCTCCCTGGTACTGCCCTTCCCGCAGTACTAACCGCCGGGGCCTGAGCCACCACTTGGCCTGCCCCTTCTGACCCTCAGCCACACCAGCTTCAGCTACTCCTCGGGCTTGGGAGGTTAAGACCAAGGCCAGAGTCACACAGCCAGCAAACCAGGCAACAAACCCAGGGGTGTCTGGATTCAGACCTGGTACAGGAGAACGAGAGAGAAGCTGGAGGCCTACCTGGTTTTCCACCTCAGCTTTTGCTGGTCGCCCTCAGACCTGGCCCCTCCATCTCTGCCATCTGCTGATGCCTTTCTCCTCACAGCCAGAAAGATCTTTCACCGCAGTGCCAGGTCTCCTGCCCACCACGTGGGAACGGGAACCAGGCCATGGGCAGGGAGATAAGCAAGTAGAGCGGACTGAGGTTAGATGACAGGATGGGAGTGTCAGATGGAGAAGGGCTCCTTCTGGGTGCCAGTCAGGTAAGAGGGGGAGGTGTCTAGGCACGCACACCCGCACATACCCCCATGAGCATGTGCATACACACACAATGCTCAGGCCCTGAAGGGGGAGGGGTGGCTTCTTCATCAAAGTCGCCTCCATCAGCCCGATGAGTTACTGTAAGGGCCGGGCCCTGGGCCAACGGGGCTGCAGCCACGGGAGACAGGCACTGCTGAGAGTGAGCTAGTGCTGCAGAGTGGGGGTGGGTACCAGACAGACACTGCAGAGTTGAGGCACCCAGAGAAAGGAAAGACCCAGGGAGGAGAAACGGAGAGGCAGGAAGAGAGGCAAAGCACTGAGCAGAGACCAAAAGAGACAGGGAGAGCCAGAGCTAGAAATGGTAAGGACATAGGAAAGAAGACAGGGCTCATGGGAGATGTCCAAGACAGAGGGAGAGACAGATCCAAAGGGTCTCTGTGCCCACACCTAGAGCATCTTGGGGAGACTGCCCAACTCTTCTAGTGGGAGGGAAGAAGGGGTCAGTGCAGCAGCAAGAAGTGGTGTCAGGGCAAGACAGCAGGGACTGGGGGATTCCCTCGGGGTATAGGAGCCCAGCCCCCAGGGCACAAGAGTGAACTGAGATCCTACCCCTGCCCCTGCCTCTGCCAATCCAGAAAGCGTCAGGCCATTTTCCTCTTTCCTCAGAGTCTCAGCTGGACCCAGGTCCCAGATGGGGAAGTTAAGGCTTGAGGCATCCAAAACATGTCACTGAGCTACCTTGGCTTACCTCAGCCCCCTACCCCAAACAAAGAACATCTTTTCCAGGAATTTTCCAAGCCCACATCCCATGACTCCGGGATAGATCTGGATGATAAATGCTATGCAGCCCTAGACAGGAGTCTGCAAACTGGCCCAAGTTCCCTATAAGCCCCTTGAAGAGGTCAGCTCCAGAATGAGGGAACAGGCACCCCCACTAGCAGGAAAGGAGCCCAGTGCCCAGCAGCACAAAGGTCCAAGCACCTGTCCCAATGTAAGATCCCAGTGTTTCGTTACACACACACACACACACACACACACACACACACACACACATACACACGGCACATAAGACAAACCCTTGGGCCCCAATTTATTGCAACTATCCCTCTGTAACACAAATACACCATTACACAGTGATAACACCACCCAGGGAGAATGATACAATAGGTCTGCTGACAATGACACATGAAATGTCTCCAGTCACTGTGATGTAGTTGATGAACACTATGCACAGTGACACCAACAGCAAGAGAAGGACACTCGTTGAGGCTGACACAATGACAGAAATCTCAGAATCCAAGATATAAGAGGCTGACGGTCACACAGAGTGATGCCAACGGTGACACTGACACAGTGACAAGGTGTCGATAACCTCGCTGAGTCACAGAGGGACACCAGTCCACAGTAACACCAGTACCCACGGAGGATGACAGTACACGTGCCTGGCTCCAGGTGATGGACCTCAGTCAGCCAGTTCTGGAGTGCAACTTGGGCTCCAGGACCCCGACCCCTCTTACCAACCCCAGGAATGTTCCTGTTACTCTCTTTCCCCTCTCCTCCTGCTCAGCTGAAGGTAGAACCTGCAGTAGGGAGCTGTGCATTCAGGAGCCTCTATTCATCCCGGCAGAATCATGCCCCATACTGTGGGTTACCCACAGTCAGCCCTGGAGATTCCTCACCCCAACCAGGTTGGGGTTGGCGCTATGGTCACTACAGACTGGGTCTCAGCCCCAATTGTGTTTGAGTGTTACCAACAACAGTGTGTTCTGAGATCTGGAGGGGAGGCTGGCATGATGATCAGATAGGCTGAGTGACCTAGACTGTGAATGAACAGAGAGGCCTCACAAACCGCCAAACACGATTACAGGGCCACCTCCCAGGAGGAGAACTGAGATCTGAAGGCCCCCAGCCAGGATCACCTTCACTGCCAGTATGGGGTGGTGGGGTCAAGAACATTCACCTGATAGAGGGTGTCTCATCCAGTGCAGAGCCAGAGTGACGTCAACTTCCAGGTCCCTCTCAGCACCACTAGACTTCTGAATCCAACGGAGCGAGGCAGAAAGGACACCATTTGCCCTGGGCCTCATCTCTTTCCCTTCCCTTCACAGCAACCTGTAGTACCCATTACTGATTTAAACGCCTGGGAAACTCGGCAGGCCTCAAACCTGCAGAGGAATTAGGTTGGAGGGAAGAAAAGAAGATATATACACTGTACTTGGAGGTGGAGAAAAAAACCAAGAGGGGATGGGGGGAAAATGGGGACAATGACAGGAGGGCTAGGGAGGAAAGCACTGGCCTGGCAGAGAAGAGGCCTGGGAGAGACAGTGAGGGCGGCTGGGAAGCTCCAAGATGGGGAGGAGGGGCTGAAGCCGGGAGGCCCCCAGATCCCACCAGGCCTAGGCAGCCTGGACAGCGTGGGCGGTGGGGGTGGGGGCAGAGGCCTGAGGCGTCCAGAGGCTGCAGAAGTGGGGGGATGAGGAGGGAGGCCTGGCCCCTGGCAGCTGGCCCGGTAGGCCCCCACCAAGGAGGGGGCTGGCCCAGGTCAGGGGCCAGCTCCTGGGCTGAGGCTGAGCTGGCTGTGGGCAGGCTCCTACTCCCCCAGTGTCTTACAGCCCTTCTGTCTCTCTTGTCTCAGGATCTTTCTCTTTTCATCCTTGCTAGAATCCAGACCTGTTCCTCGCCTCAGCTCTTGGTGCCCAAAGCGACACAGGACCCAGAAGCTATGCCTGGGTTATGCAGCCCTTTCCGCCTTCTGGATGATCTCATGGCTACCCTCTCCAAGGGCAAACGTTGGGTTCTCGGGGGGGGGGAAAGCACCCCACAAAAGCACAGCCTTCCTCCTACTTCTTAGAAAGGGGGTAGGATAAGCTGAGCACCAATGGGAGGGGGGCCAGGAGGGAGGCAGCAAGAGCTGTCCCCCAGCTCCAGCCGCTGGCTGAGGTTGTGGAAAAGGAGGCGGCCCAGTATGAGTGAGTTGGGGGGGGTATCCGCACCTGCTGTTGTGACCTCCACAGCCGGAGATGGGGGCCAGGATGGGGGGGACGACAAGATTCCGATGGATTTTGGCAGCGGCCTGGACTCTGAATGCTCAAACCCCCCACCTCCAGCCTCTTGCACCGTGGGGACCCTGAGATCAGCATGTGCGTGCCCCGCTGCACGTGTGTGCGGGCGTGTCGGAGGGAGCCTGGGGCCTTCCTATGATGGGCCTGGCTGGGCAGCTGGGGAGGTATCCTGGGGAGATGGGAATCTGTTCTGCCATCCTGTGCCCACATGTGAAAACCCATTTGGGGCCCTGCAAGCTGTGGGACCCAGGCATGGGATCGTATATGCACATACACAGAAGCCTCTGCTCAAGCAGCCTCTAGATGCAGAAGGCCTGGGCTTTCTTCCTCAGAAGTCATCTGGTCTAGCTTCCTGCCTCTTGAACGGAGAGCAGGAAAGGGCAGACAAATTCACATCCTCCCTTTGGGCACATGGGTTCTGGACAGTTTCACAGAATCTGAGACACCAGTGCCAAATACGGTAACCCTCAACCCCAGTCCAGAATCTCTTCTGGCTTCCAGAAAAAGCAGGAGGACTCCTTCTCCCAGAAAAGGTCCTCAGAGTCTGATTAAACATGAGTTTAATGGAGAGAGACAGACTGCTATAGCAAGAGGTAAGACAGCTGAAGGAACTCCAGGAGAGGCAGAGGCTGGGTAGGCCAACAGGTTGGGTTGAATGCCATTACCTTTGAGAGGGCAGGAAAGGATCCCAGTAGGGGTGGGAGGGCAGGAAGGAGGTTACAATGAAGAGCCCTCCTCAGAAACAAAGGTGCACAGAATGGTTTTCTGCGCTTGGAGTTTGATTCGAAGACCTATGTGCCTCAGCATCTCCTACCATACCCCATCCCTGGCTCTATCACTGCTATGGTGTAGACACACCCTTGAAAATGTACATGCAGGCCCATGCACACAAGCCTGTACACACACACACACACACACACACACACACACACACCCACACGCGCGCGCGCGCGTGCACACACAGATGGAGGCTACAGTGTGTGTGAAGTACGGGTTTGTAATAAAAAGAACTAAAGAGGATCTTTCTAATAGAATCAGAGTTGAGCTGAGGGACAGAAGCTTGGAATGTCTCTCTGTTCTGTTCTCTCTGCACCCCCCCCCAACATGCATATGCACCATGCATGCTGCTTCTGAGGAACCTTCTGGTCTGCTGGGTGAGAGCGAGCCATCCTTCCTCCCCCTTCCTCCCCTCCTGCACAGTGGGGAAGCCAGAGCAATCTGTTCCTGATGGGTAAACACAGGCCCAAGTATGCACACACGCATGCTCACACACACACCCGCAACTCAGGGTCACACAGTATCCAGTGCTCACTTCACCCCAAGATGAAGCACACACTTAGCCTCTCACAGCCACTCTGTGGGGCTTCCCACAGCCCCCAACTCCCTGTACACACGTAGTCAGAGCTTTACAGACCACCCAGGCCGCCTCTCATTCACAGGCACTCAGAGTCTGCCGTCACAGTCACACAGCACAGCCTCCCACAGGCCGCTGTGTGCACACACAGACTCCTTCACACAAAACAGCCCCGCTCTCACATATGGATGCTATCACACACTCAGAACCGTGTATCTTCCATTTCAACACCACTGCACACCTCCAGAAACTCAGCCCTACCACCCTGTCACCCTCAGCCTCTCACACCCCACGCCCACAATGGGAAATTCAGAGATACACACTTGAATAGTCAAGCCATGCTGGGACCTCAAGTGGCCTGGCTATGCTTGAGAAGAGGGAAATAAGCCAGGACAGTCTACATTAGGAAGAGAAAGGAAGGGAAATTCTGTTCCCCTTAAAGGTGAGGAAGTAGACAGTTATTCCCCAGGTGGACTTTTCTTCTAGTAACCCAGCTTTCAACAATATTAGGGACTGAAGGGAGATCTAGGCCTGAGAGAAGGGGTGAACAGCAGGGCTCCAGAAGCAGCCCACTCCCCAGACCTTCCTGTCACCCTTACCTCCCCTTCCTCTCAGTCCAGCTTCCTGCTGTGCACTTTCAAGCCTCCCTGAGACTTCTCTGTGCCCATAACTGTTTCTAGGGCACCTGGCTGTCAGGCTTCAGTGCAGAAAGGGGAGAGGAGGAGGAAGAGATAAAGCTTTGATTCCAGTACACTCCCCTGCCATGCCCCTGCCAAAGTCCCGTTCTCACTTCAGGCGCCCTAAAGGTGGGGGACAGGAACCCAGAACTGGGCAGAGCAGGTGCTGTGCTAACCAACCACTTTGAGTAAGAGTCCTAAGGTCCTTAAGACCCTGCAGACACCCACCCACCCCACCCCACCCCAGCCACAGGAGCTAGGCTCAGCCGCTGTCCAAGGACAGAATTCAGGCTGCACTAGCCAGTCCCAGCAAGGAACAGTCAGCTGTAGACACCCTTACTATTTGCCAATCTAGGTGTAGCTGGGGCTCTGATCACACCCCTAAAATGAGCCTGATAGGGCTCCATGGAAACCAGGTAGGGTTGCAAACACCAAGCAGCAGGACCTAAGGAAACTAAGCAAAGGCAATCTTATAAAGCCAGACGATAGGGATGTGGGGAAAATTAGATAGCGGAGACAAAAGAAACCAGGCAGAAAGGTGTAAGGAAACCAGGTGACAAGGCCCAAAAGGAGGTAGGTTCTGGGAGCCAGATAAAACCAGGCAGCACCGACTAAAGTTAGCTAGTAGGTGTGGAAAAATGAAGCCAGGCTTCAGGGATCAAATGAAACTAGGCAACAGGCCCACAGGATGTGAGAAAAGAAAGATATCAGGAGCTCATCCCCCTGTCTAGATGTCACCCCACACCCTGGGCCTCTCTCTCAGTAGCCCCCTCCCCCAGGCCGATGGACACAGCCAGAGCCCCCTCCCCTCCCAGAGGCCTGGTCCGACTGCAGCCAATGGGCCCTGGCCCCATCCCTGGGACCTCAGGAAGTCCCAGTCCCTCCCACCGGCTGCAGAGGCAGGGGGGCTGGGGGAGAGAAAGAGAAGAGGAGAGAGACAGCTTGGCAGGGGGAGCGCAGCGCAGCCGCGGGGGGCGGGGGCCGAGAAAGGAGCGGGAAGCCGAGGCGGGCTGGCGGGCTGGCGCGGGCGGGGGCGTCCCAGAGGCGGCGGCCGCGGGGTGACAAGTCCTCGCTGCAGCCGTGTGGCCACTGACCTGCGTCCCCGCGCAGTCACCCGCTCAGCGCCTCCAGTGCCGCGTGGGTCCGCCCGGTCGCTCGCGGGCATCGGCCCTCTGTGCCTGGGCTCTGGCAGCCCCGGCCAACCCCGAGGCAGGAGCGGCCCCCCACCACAAAGGTCCCCACGGGCGGGCGGCTGGGACGGGGCCGGCCCGGCCGGGGCGACACGGGCTGAGCCGCCAGCAGAGCCGCGGGGCGGCCGGAGCGGCGGGAGGAGGGGAGGAAGCAGCGCGCCGAGAGCGAGCGGCGGGCGGGCGGCGAGCAGGCAGCGAGCTAGCGAGGGAGCGGGCGGCATGCAGTGAGGTCATCCTTTGAATCTAATTGTCTGAGTCAGGAGGAGATGTGGCACTTGATGCAGGGGGAGGGGAGGCGAGGGAAGGGACCCTCGGCTCTCAGGCCCCACCTCCCCACGCTCCCGAATAGCAGGGCCTCACCCTTCCCCATGCCAGGTTCCTCCAGCCACCCCCGAGACCACTGCCTGTCTCAGGGCTGACCCCTGCTGTCGGGGTACCACCAGGCAGTGAGATGCACAGCCCGGTCCCCGGTCTGGGGGACCGGCCTAGTCTTCTGGGGGTGATGGGACCCCCTCCGTCGCCTTCTCACATTTTTTACCGTTAGGAAGGCCACCAACCATGCACAGGTGATATTTCTGCCCTCTGAGGGGAAAGGGGAAGTTCGACAGTCTTCTGAGTTACTTCTGTGCACTTTAGGAAAATGCTCCCCATTGCACCCCAAGTTACTTCCTGCACTGAAAATTTGATGGAATCTGGAAATTGAACCTCAGCTCAGTCTTACCCTCCAGAATTAACAGTGCAAATGCCAACCCTTGGGTAGAGATGAAAGTCTCCAGCTAACCCCAGTCTCATTCTGCTGGTCCAAGCTCCTGTTCGGGAGGGAAAGGAGAAGGGCCACAGGCTAGGGTCCCCAGGAGCTATCCAAGGGACCAGGCTGCCCTCACGGGGTAGGCAGGCAAGTCAACAGCTGGCCTTGGCCTGTTGAGCGGCACACCCATGCATGTACACGTCAGCACATGCACACATGTACGTACACACATGGGGTTGGGGGGCACGAGGTGGCTGGGGATGTTCACACCAAAGGGCCACCCCTCCCCTCACCCCTGTGGGGGAGGGGTGATAAATATTTAAGGGGCTTTTAGCTCAGAAGGGGCTGAAGCTGGGGGAGGGAGGGGGGGATCCACACTGCCTGATTAATGGGGTTACAGGCTTGGATCAATCCGTCCGCCCCCGCCCCACTGCTCCCTCCTCCTCCCTCCTCTTCCCTCCCTCTGCCTAATGCGCTTTATCAGGAGACGCTTTTCTGACTTGGCAGCCTCGGCGTTTTAAATAGACCCATTTAGAGCTGGGGTTGGGGGAGAAAAAGGGGGGGTGGAGGGAGACAGAGACTGAGACAGGCTGGGAGACAGAGACAAATCAGGGGAGAGAGAGAGCCCCGGAAGAGAGAGACTGGAAGAAGAGAGACAGAAGATGCAGAGAACTGAGAAGAGAGAATGAGAGACTAAGAGTGAGACTCCCCATGGAGAGGAGATGGGGAGAAGTGATGGGAGGCCAAAGGGGAGGTGGGGGCTTCAAAACAGAAACAAACACAAAAAGCAACACACACACACACACACACACACACACACACATACACACACCCCGAGGGAGGCACTGCAGCAGCCCAGAGAACCCAAAGAGAGGCTCTCTGCAAGGGCTGAGTGCTAGCCTGGGAGACAGCAGATATCTTTTATTTCCAAAAACAGTTTTTCATCCACTTTGTTAAATTAAAAAGCTGTTTTTAAAGTGATGCTGGAGGTGCTGTTGGGGGAAGGTGGATGAAACTGCCAAGTCCTCCCTCCCAGCCCTTCTCAGCCCCCACAGAAGCTGCCTCAGCCTGAGCCCCTGGGGGAACTCCAGCTCCCCTGCTCTCTGAGATCCTCTGAGATCCCTAGGGACAGGGTCATGGCATCCGAGCTACTGTTCCCTGGCAGGAAGTCCTCCCTGCTGTCTGGCCTCAGTCCCTCTTGCTGTGGGGAACACATTCTCTCTCCTAAGCACTAGCCTAGTCTTCCCAGCCCCTGTCCTGGCTCCCTAAGTCATTCCCAGTTTGGGAGAGCTCAAGGCTCAGTAGTCTGCTTTCCCAATAGACAGGCCCTGCCCAGGTGTGCACCATAAATATCAGCTATAGGTGTGAACGGTCACTGCCTGACCCCACACCACTCTGAGCTTCATTCACACCCATTACACCAAGGCCTTGGGCTCTGGGAACAGTGGGATGGGAAACTTACTCCTTGTATCTCAAACAGCCACCCCTTCCTCCATCCTCTTCTGGGTCCTGATTCCATCTAAGCTCCTTTTTTTTTTTTTTTTAAATCTATCTAAGCTCCTTTTAAGGCCACATGTTAGACCAAGGTACCCCACTCCATTCTCAGTGCACTAACCCTAGTTTTGAAGAGTTAGCACCCTCACACACACCTGCTGCCCCAGGCCAGGAAAATGGCCAGTCTGTTTGGAAGCCGAGATGAAAAGCCCAGTCGGCCTTTGTGGGCCTCTGGCGGGTTTTGGACAATAGGCCCTTCCGTTCCGCTCCAGTGCCTTGATTCCTTGGATGCCCCCACCCCCGGGCTGCCAATCCAGGGGCCTTGCCTGGCCTGAATGAAGCAGAGAGAGTCAGACTCAGCCCTACAGCTGGCCCCAGAAGAGTCTGGACCTTCCGACCTAACATTCCATCTCCAAGCCCAGCTGCTCCCCTAATCAAGCCAGAGTGATGTTTTGGGGTCAAAGAGGAAACTTGAAGACACTAAAACACAAACATATTTTGGTATATGGGATTCAGCCCCTTAGGATAGAACCCAGTTACCTGGCTTGGTTTTACCCATATTTTTGTGACCATAGGTAAATCTCTTTCCTTCTCTAGGCCTATCATAGGGCATAAAAAGCCCAACCAGGCAGAGCACAAATTGCATAGGACAGAAGGACAAGGGTGCTGAATGAAAGGATATCACATACTTTACTGTCTCTCCCACACCTACAGCCCAAACACACCTGCCTGACACCCTGACACTGACCTGTTCCACCAGGGCCCAGCACCTACCTCTTCACCACCTGCTGCACTTAGAGCACATCAATGTCTTCCTCCTCCTCCACACCAAATTCTTTCCTGATCTTCCAAAACCAAGGGTGTGGGATGGTGTGATAAGGCTGGATTCTAGAACAGCAAAGGGCACAAATCAGAGGTCATGGGAGAGCCACCAATCTTAGTCTAGCTGGAGATTTCTTTTTTTTTTTTTTTTTCCTTTTTCCTTTTTTATCGGTACCAGGGATCGAACTCACGACTGCCTGCTTCCAATACAGGCACTTATGCCGCTGAGCTAAATCCTCAGTCCCCTAGCTGGAGATTTAGCTGCATCAGGTCATGAGTTCAATCCCCAGTACCACCAAAAAAAAAAAAAAAAAAAAAAAAAAATAGATCTTAATCTAGCTCAGAGCTCATTCCACACTCACAGCCTCTCACAAGGAGCGTGGAAGAGGAGAAATTAGAATAGTACACTCTCCTCCAGCCCTCTGTGTTGAATTTAGTTCTGAACCACAAGACAAGGAAGGCCAAAGATAGTGAGTGGCCTGACACCACAGATGATCCAAAATTGCCAGCCAAGGGCCAGGGAAATGGCTCAGTGGTACAAGTTTCTACCTAGCAAGTGCAAGGTCCTGAGTTCAATTTCTGGTACGAAAAAAAAAAAAAATGCCACACAAGCAGTTTGCAGATAGGAGCACATAGTTACCACATGCATTGTGCAAGCACACTCACACAGAGACACAGGGTCACGGGGTGGCATCAGCACTCAGCATCCTAACATCCTTTTCCTTGTTATCACTATGACTTTCGAGCCTGTTACATGCCTGCAACTGTTAGGCACCGCTTATGCATTATCTCATTTAATTTCCAACTTCTCTACAAGGCAAGTTCTATTATTCCTCCCATTTGACAGCTAAGAAAACTAAGACTTGTAGAAGTTAAGTAACTTGCCCAAGACCATAGAGTGGAAAAGTTCTAGAGTCTAAATTTGAGTACATATCTAGCTCCAAAGCCTATCTGTTACACCAGTTTGCTTCTGTAGCTCTCTCACCCATTAGCTCTGTGCCTTTCCCGATAATTACAGCTAGCTTGTTTGTATGTACTCTTTTCTTTTCTTTCTTGCAGTGCTAGGAACCAAACCCAGTGCCTCACACGTACTAAGGGAGTACCCACTCCTGAGCCATATCCCAACAAGCAGCAGTTGTTCAAGTTCTTGGTCAGCCAGACACTGTGATAAACCTAACTTGTACTTTTGTACTGAACCATCAAACCAACCTTCAGAGATGGTCCTGTTTGTGTTTTATAGATGAGGAAACAGAGACTCATAGAGCAAAAGCAGCTTGCCCAGTCATACACTGGTAGCTAGTTGGGGAGCTGATGCTGAACAGTCCAATCACTTAACATACCCTCAGCTTCCACAAGATCCCAGGAGGGCCTCAGGGTCCAACTGCCTGCCCCTAACAGGTCCTAGATATACCTTCCAAAGGTGCAATTAGGTGTCTAAACACATACTCATGAGGAAGGAACTTTGTGAGAGCCAGAGACACTAAGGAGGGAGAGTCAAAAACCTAAAACATGCTGTTTCAGACAGTCTGGCCGATGGTGACACATACAGACACAGCAAGACAAGGACCCAAGACAAGGCGATAAGAGGGTAAGACACAGACAGAAACATACACCAAGCCAAAGAATGAAAGGTGTTGGAGACAACAGAGGCAGAGGAGGCCATAGGCAGACATAAAAACACATGCAGATACACACTGATATGCACAGACACAGGCACTTACAGACCTATCTGACCTTCCAAGACAAAAATCCTGAAAGCAGCCAAGGCTCAGGCTGTGTGTGGCATGTGTATGTGCGTGCATGTTGGGGGGAAGCATGCAGAGCCTGTATTGCTACGCACATCATACCAGCTGCTTCCAGCAATTTCATCTGATTAATAATAAATGCCCCATAATTACAGCCGCTCCCCCAGCTCTTCTTCTTGTTTTTTGTCAGCTGCCGCCAGGCCAGCCCCCCATGGACCCCATGGTCCACTCCATCCTCACCTGTTGCCTTCTAGGAGGCTGAGAGCGCAGCGTGTAAGCTGACAGAAGAGGCCAGACTTCCAGTCAGAGGGGGGATCCTCCTCTCTGTAGTTATCTTTGATTAATGCCCTTTGGCTCCAGTCAAAGTCATCTCACTTAGAACTCTCCCCACCTACCTGTGTATAACCTGTGACCCTTAATACAGCCCAGAGGCCCCGGTTTGGGGTGTAAGGAGATGAACTTCCATTGCCCACCTTTACCACTTACTGACTGAAAGAAGTCTCCATCTACAAACCACCTCGCCCTAAAACCCCACAGGCTCAAGGGAGGAAGGGACTAAGACAGGGGCTCCCACCCCATCACTACAACGGACCCCCACCAGCCCAGCCTCTGCCCATAGGTGTACCCTCCTGCTCTGGACACAGGGTGGCTGCACCTCCCCATTCCCCAGCCCCCCTCCTAGGTCCACCTCGTTCCAGGCCTCCCACCCTAGAGCGCCAAAGCAGCTCTATCAGAATCAGCTGCGGGTTTGTGCTGATCTGTTTCTAATCGCTGGGGCCTGGTTCACGCTTCCCCCCCTCCCCAATATTGATTCCATTATTTGGAGAGTCATTGACGTCAGGAGGCTGGATGGGTGCCAAAACCGCCTTTTCTCTGGGCCTGGCCAGGGCCCAGCCCCGCCCCCCTGCCCCATCCTACAGTTTCACGGAGGGGCCCAGAAAGGTCAGCTCATGGGCCAAGGTCACGTGGCATCTGCCCCCTGACACTGGGCTCCTCTTCCCTTTTTGGGACCACTATGTAGTCTCTCTCCCTGGGCAAAGGCAGGGAAACCAGGAGTGAGGTGAAGGTGTCTAAGAGGGACTGGGAGCCACACAGGACCTGGCTGCAAGAAAGGGCTTGGATGAGGTGAGGATGGTGCAGTGGCTCTGAAAGGGCACTTGGGAAGATTTTGTTCTCTTTGCCAGGTATTTATTTGAAACACCCTGAAGCTGGACTTGAAAGGGTTCCTACTGACTACTTAATTTTTATGTCTGCTATCAGATGTATCTCCAGACTCTAGGAAGGAAATTCTCTGCAGTGAAGGGTAACCAATTACCCTGAATGTTACCATAATTTGACTAAATGGCACCACTAATTTTATAAATCTTTGCTCTATCTGTAGCAAAGGCTCTGTCTCCTGTGCATTTCTACTCATAGTTACCTCAGTTTCCCCATCCTCACACACTCTCCCAAGCTCTCCTGGCTCTGGGTCAGGCTCTCCTGGTTCTTGCCCCTCTACCAAGTTACTGCCACTGCTACACTGGCCCACACCGGCAACTCTTTTCTGACAGGATGGAGTAATTTTAGTATCCAAACCCTGTGTTCTCAGACAGACATTAATGACCAGTAGCCACAGTCCATGCTGCCACAGCAGCTACACAGCCGCTGAGCCCAGCCTTAATGGGTCAGAGATGGAGTCCACTCCCTCAGCCGGAATCCAAGAATCCCAGACCTAGAGAGAGTGGTGAACAGGCTCGCAACCACAGCGAAATAAAAGGCTTTCCCATGTTTTGAAAAAATCCTGAAGCTGGGGAGAGGGCAGCATGATGTCAACCTGCCCTCAGTTTCCCTCATGCTGACTTTGCAAGGATTAAGGCACTTATCTTCCATACTCTTAGTAAAGGAAAGTTCTTCCTGTAGTCTAGCCTAAAAGCCACTCAGGGTTCCTTTGAGCCCAGCAGGGTGTTCAACAGGGACTTTGGGTCTCAAAGCACAAATGCCAGGTCCCTTCTGCCCCTGTTTATCTTCACCATTTATTGAACATCCAATCCCTGCCAAGTACTAGGTAGGCAGTGGGGACACAGTCCTGCCTAGGAGCGCTGGGTCTGATAGGAGAGAAAAACCATGCATTGCACACTCAACACTACCCTCCTGCTGTGTGCCAGGGACAGGGTCCAGTGGTGAGCAAAGCAGGCCCAGAACCTGGGTCCCAGTCACGCTCAAAGCCAACCACTATGCCACCCTGCTCAGTGTTACCTGGGGGAAGGACAAGGTGTGGTGGACATACTGACTGGCCTGGGTCTGCCACACTCCGTGCTCCTGAAGGACTGGGAGACTTCAGTCTCTTTCTGATCCAGGTGGGGCCCTCATGCTGGCCATAGTCTCATTTCAGTTCCTCTTACTGTAGCCTAGTCACAGCTCTAGAAGCCGTTCCCTAAGGCAAAACTGACTCCTCTCCTGCATTTTCTCTGGCTCCTCCTTCTGCCCTGGCTGCCCTCAAAGCTCCTGGCTCTGATAGCCACCACCCCCACCCCCACCCCACCCTCCCCGGCACAGACAGCTCTGTGCTTTTAGGGGCTCCCTTTGCCCTCTGCAGAGGTAAAAAGGGAAGATGACCATGGGCTCTCCATCCACCAGGGACCACTTGTCTCTCTAGCCCCTTCCCACAGGAAGCCAAGTCCATGTGGGCGTGGTCACCCAGGGCCACAAGAGTTTACACAGGTGAGTTCTCCCCCACACCCCTTCCCCATGGTGGGTCTGGAGGAGAGGTCAGCTCTCCTCAGCCTCCTTACTCCCAGGGACTCCCCCAAACCAGGCACACATGGTCCCCCCCCAACCCATCTGCATTTCAAAGAAAATCCACTCCATATGTTTCCGATTCATTTACACTTCAACTCGCCATGGGGGGGCAGAAAGCAGGGCGCCTTGCCTCCTAGCCCCCACCCCCATTGGGGGCTGGAGAGCATGTGTCCCCTTCAGGACCAGGGAGCAGTTAAAGCCCAGCCATTGCATCCTGGGGGGAGGGGCATGCTTGCCAGGTCCCAAGTGAGTGACCTCCCATGGGGGAATAGTAGTCCCATGGACTGGTTTCCATAGCAAAGGGCACGTGAAGTCCAGGGCCAGGTCTCTAAGGCAGGTGGGGTTCCAGAGCTGGCTGCAGTCTAGGCACCCCAGGGCTCCTGCTCTCTCTGCAGAGTGGAGCATGGATTCCTGGAGCCCTTGAGCAAGGACAGGGTTCAACAGGCATTCCAGGAAACACTGTGAGATACAGCGTACTAGGGCCCCGACCCTGCTCTTGCTGGGGTGGAGGAGGGAAGGTGCAGCACAACCCAGTGTCCTCCT